CCCTTTAAGGAAAGAAATAAACCACACCAGGCTGTGCTGTAGCTGTGCATCAGATGCTTGGTCTTTTTACTGAGGAATAGGGTTTGGGGGAAGGTCAGGTAGAGAGTTAACAGCTCCAATTCATCACCTCTAAGACCTTGTGGTAGAGTAGGTGGAGAAGTTCTTGCCCATAGTCGTGTGCATGCTCTGAGCTGGGGGTCTGGGTCCAAGCAGCAGCTCCCACTGCCCAGCCTGGGGGAGGAGAGCACTTTAGATGCTGGGTCTTGAGGAGGGGGAGACAAATAAATGTCCTCTCCTACCTTCCCATGTGAGGTCTAGCTCTGGGCACTTGACATCTGGGAAGCTCATGGGTCAGCAAGGAGAAATCTTTCCTGAATATTCACTGCTTTGTAGTGGAAGAGAAGCTGTCTCTTAAGCTCCAGAAAGCCCAACAGTCACGTTGCTGATGTCTAGAATAAAGAGAAAAATGTCTTTACCCTCAACAAACACTGCCCTGCTGGTGAACAGGAGAGTCTGGGCTCCAGTCTAACACTGGCTGCACCAACTCCTAGCATTGTTTAGGTTGGAGAAGACCTTTGAGACCACTGAGTCCAAGTGTTAAGCTGAACACCTCAGGATCAATACTCTGCTCCTCCCTGGGTAACTCTGACTTCAAGATGCTGGTGAATCTTGCTAGTCCTGAGTGCTGCAGCAAGAACACTGCGATGGCAACTAGGACATAAGGGGTCTGATTTTAGTTTTAACCACGTGGCCTCTCTAGCCACCCCCTGAGGTGCTCTGGATGCTGATGGAGCCAGCATCTGGACCTGTGCTTCAGAGCTCTCTGCATAATGTACACGTGTCTATTGAGCTGTGTGGTTTAGAGCTATAGAAGGGGCTCAGCCCCTTGCTCAGCTGGGTAAAAGAAGATGCAACCCCCCAGCCACTGCTCCAGCTCCTCTGTCTTTCCAAAAACCATCCCCTGGCAGCTGGTGGCAACCACTCAGAAATGAAATCATGTGTCTGCTCCTCAGGCTGTGGTCAGCAGTGGGAAAACACCACACCAGGGAGACCAGAGACCTGGGAAACCTGGGGACAACCCCCCCCCAAATTTGTGCCATCAGTGGGGAGCAGGACCCAGATCAAAAAATATTCTCTTGAATAACTACAGGCCTACTTTCTACATACTTGAATTTACTGCACAGTTGGACTGTTTTGAGGGACTGAAGGCACTTTAACTGTCTTTTAAAGCAATGTATTTACTATGGATTATCTGCATGGACTACAGGCTGAATATTAAAAGAGAATATCTTCCTTTTGGACTGCTTTGTTTTCAAAATAAACAGGCAAAGAATTATTAGTCATGTTGTGTGAACTGCCAAGCAGGATGGGAATTAATTTCATCTTGTATTCTTTTAATTGACACTGTAAGAACACAAAGCTTATTTTTTTTTCAGACATCCTTTCCTGTCTTAGTAATAAAACATCATTATCAGGAGGTATTCCCAGGACATGACTAGGATAAAAACACAGGTAATTGAGGTTGGAATCAAGACTATAATTTTCTTCTCATTTTCTTCTGCTCAGCTTGTTTAGATTTCTTTTTCCAGGCTTCTCAGGGGGATCAATGAAGGTTGCTTGGTCCTTTTGACAGGAGGCAGGTTTAGTGTTTTGATCTCTGCACCAGCACTAAATTATTTCCAAAATGTAAATCACTTTACAGGTCATTAGCTGAGACCTCCACGTTTGGGCTTCTTTTGCTGTTATATGTTAGAATTATGGACAAATCAGCTCTGAAAGGAGATGAAGAACTGCAGGAAAAGGCCCATCCTGCAATTAACTACAGCTCTCAAGGGATTGATTCCTGTGGGAGCTCTGGTAGTGCTGCTCCCATGCATGGTACACCCTGAGTAGCTGCTAAGGACTTACCTGTGACCCTTCCTCTGCACTCACCTGGCTGCCCCAGGTAGGAATGGCCAAGGCAGGGCAGAAACTGGAGCCCTTCAACCCTGCTGCACGTCCCTACAAGAGGTAATCATGAGTCTCCTTAGAGGCAGAGTGAGGTAGGAGGAGGTCCAGAGGGGCAGGATGGAGCTGGAGTACAGGCAGTGGTCCAGGAGATGCAAGTTCCCATTGGTAAAGGATCTCCTGGCATCTCAGCTGCAAGATGGGAACAGCAACACCCCGTGGTTTGCCTGGGGTTGTTTAAACTGTCACCTCCCCAGCCTGGGGCTGTTTAAACTGTCACCTCCCCAGCCTGGGGCTGTTTCCTGGCAGGTATTTGTCCCACTTGGTCCCTGCTGCCCATCCCAAACCAACCTCACCCTTTTCTGCACCTCCTTTCAGTGGCTGTGGCCAAGTTGCCACACTGGTAGAAGCAGCAATCCAGCAGCTTGGCCTCATTCTCCCTTTCACCTCCCCAAGCCCCTCAGCCCCTTTCATCCCCTCTTCCCCAGGAGTCCTCTCCAGGATGGGAGAAGCTGTGCTAACACAATGCAAGCAGCTAGAAGTTAATTTAAGCATCCTAAAGAATTCTACTCTCCCAATGCCTTTTTCTATTTATTCTCTGAGCAGAGACATAGCAGATCTATAATTAGGATATATATATTCTGGTTTTATATAGATATATTTACACACTCAAGCACAAATACTTTATAAATGTA